CACACACACACACACACACACACACACACAGAGACGATGATACCATCGAATAGATCAGAGGTCGGTGGCAAAGAAGTCGGTGAGCATCCATCGGAGTGTGTGCTAGAAGCAGGACGCGTTGGGATCTGACAGCGTCCAGACTGCCAAAGTCCTCATTTGGGCCCCCTACTCCATGAGCCTGTGGCCTTTCCTTTCTCTTTTTTTTTTTGAATTGCTTGCAAAACCATATCGTCAATCCTAGAGCAGCACAGCGGCAGTAAGCGCGTCTGTCGGGTTGAGGGCTTCGCTCCACCACTCACCACATGCACAAACCACAAAAATTATAATAGCGGGTGCATCTTTCCATTAAGTAGCGGGCGATTCATTCATTTGGTTTTCTGCATTTGGTTTTCTTTCTTTTCGACTCCTCGTTTCCAACTTGTCTTCAAAAAATACATTGCCCCATGCATACATACATACATACATACATACATACATACATACAATCATGCATGTAGACATACATACATACATACAATCATCCATATCGACATACATACATACATACATACATACAATCATGCATGTAGACATACATACATACATACGTACACTCCTCCCTTCAGTCATTCTTCGCCCGGTCACTGACTCACTCATCTTACACAGCATTTACGTTTCCACTTGACAATCACGATTCGGCGGTACCAAGCGATTGGTGATAGGCTACCGCTCGGCATCCAATCATTCATCGATCACTCATTGATTAACATCGATCATTCACCGATCATTCATCGATCATTCGCCGATCTTTCGTCGATATCTTTCATCGATCGTTCATCGATCAGTCGTCAATCAATCAATAAATTAATCAATCAATAAATAACTAAATAAATTAATCATTCAATCAATCAATAAGTTAATCAATAAATCAATAAATCAATAAATCAATAAATCGATCAATCAATCTACAGCTGGCCGTAAAGCCAATCCAATCAATAGCCACTCTAAGGTCCATCGGCACGTCACATTGATTGGCGACGATGGATATGCTGATGGCTATTGGCTATCGAGACGATGTATATGCTGATGGCTATTGGCCATCGAGCCCAGCTGATCTTGCACAAATGCATAATCGAGATAGATCAAGATCGAACCGAGACTGATTTCTGGAGATATACAGAAAGGAGCAGGTCAATCAGTTGATGCGGCACAAAAAGACTATCACTGTGTAACTGTCATCAACGAGTGAGCATCGCCAGAAAATGAGGACAAGGCCCGGGAAAAAAGAAAGAGAGAGAGAGAGAGAGAGAGAGAGAGAGAGAGAGAGAGAGATTGGAAACCGGATTGAATCACAACTCTTGTATAGTTTGTGATTGATATTAATTAATCTGGTGACAATGTCGACGAATGAGAAAAGAACTTTCACGCGCGCTGGCCCGCGGCCGACTCCAATCTCCTGCTCCAACCTGTGCTGACCTTTCCCGCTCTCCCTCTACCCCGCCGTCTCTCATCCGGTACACTGGATTTCGATCTATACTGAGCTTCTCTCCCTTCTCTCTCTCTCTCTCTCTCCCCGTGGATGAACTTCCTCAATGCCCCCTCTCCCCCCCCCCCACCTTTTCACTCTTTGATTATCCCCTACCTCCCTCCTCTCGCTTGCCCTGTGGTCCTTCCCCCCCGCCCTCCCCTTTCCTCCCTCCCTCTTCTAGACGCCAGCCGGCACTCAATTATGTCTGTATCAGACGGAGTAGCGGTCCGACCCGAGAGAACTATCATCGTCGTTGTCCTCTACTCTCCCTCTCTTCTCCCTCCCTCCCTCCCTCCCTCCTTCCGTCCCTCCAGCCCCCCTTCCCCGCTCCGTTACTTCCTTTCTCTTTCCATGACACGCAGCCGCGATTTCTTCCATCCATCCATGCATCCGTCCCATCCATCAATCAATCCATCCATCAATCAATCAATCCATCAATCCATCAATCAATCAATCCATGCATCCGTCCCATTCCATTCACAAATCCCATCACATTCATCCATCAATCTCGTCCCATCCATTCACCCCATCCATCTTTCATCAAATTCATTCATCGATCCATCTCATCCTTCCATCTCGTCCCATCCATCCATCCATTCATCCATCCTTTCATCTCCTCATCCACTCGTCCCATCTATTCCATCCATCCCACCAACTGAGAAGCAGACCCTACGCAATCACCAATCAACGACTCGAATCATCGCGTCCATTAGTCCAAATGCCGCGCCGATTGGTTGATCGATCGACTGAACAGGCCATCAATCCCTTGTCGGACTCACCATGCGATTCAATTCATATCTACATTCTTAAAGAAGTTTCCATGGTTAGATCGAGAGAGAGAGAGAGAGAGAGAGAGAGAGAGAGAGAGAGAGAGAGATGGATTAATAAAAAACAACACTCAGCGTACCTCGGCTATGCATGTATGTGCTCAGACACACACACACACATCGAGAGACAGAGACAGAGAGAGCGAGAGCGAGAGAGAGACACAGAGAGAGAGAGAGAGAGAGAGAGAGAGTAATAAAGCAGGTCTGAGCGTATCCCTGCTCCCACATCAAAGTGGAAACAACCCACCAAACTCTGCACGCCAGCCATTAGGGGAGAACAAGTGGAAACCACCCCCGCAAGAGATTTTCTATTCTACACTCTGTTTGAAACTCGCCGCGCCATTCCCCAGTTTGCACACGCGGGGCATAAACAGGTGTTCTAATCAACTCTGGTTGAAACTCGGGCTGATTGACGGCAAGTGCCAAAGGAGCTACGCACGCACAGGGGCGGTTGGGAGCTGCGCACGCGGCGCGGCATCAGGAGGTAACTCGCCGCGCCATTCCCCCGCATTGCGCGCAATGCCCCACCGCTCCAATGACCCCAATGGTAAAAAAACAAAGAGCAAACCTCTTGATTGCTCAATCATCAACACGCTCCTCCCGCACGTTGCGCTCTTCATATCCGAGCAAGAGCCCACAGCCACGTGGGGCCTCTGTAGACAAAAATGTGGCGGCGTCTCTCTCTCCCTCTCTCCGCACAAGCCATTGCGTACCCACCAGTTTGATCGATCGCTGGATTACTTACTAAATGGCTGATTCACTTATTCATTCATTCACTGAATCTTTGATTGATTGATTGATTGATTGATTGGATGGTTAATTGAAGTATGAAAGGATGATGGCCGATGGATGGATCCCATCACGTTGCTCAGTGTGGCCTTTGCCACTGCGCTCTGCCTGTTAGCGACTAAGTACCAGTAAAACACACGCACACACACACGCAGATGGCGGCGGGAACTTGACACCCTGCGATCAATCGATCGATCGATCGGTCGACCGATCGATCGATCGATAGATTGCTTGATTGATTAATAAATTGATTAATAGATTGATTAATAGATTGATTGATTGATTGATTGATTGATTGATTGATCGACTGATTGATTGATTGATCCATCAGTCGATCGATTCCATCCATCGATCAATCCACCAGTCGATCGATTCCATCCATCGATCAATCCACCAATCCGTCCACCAATCAACCAGTCACTCAATGTTTCAATGGATGCGATTTGAAGTCAATCAATGGACGGATGCATCGTCGCCCTTCATTTCAAAGGTACTTCTCCTACATTACGATCGACGATGGATTGGCGTGCGGATCCTCTCACGGATCCGACGGTTCTGGTCGTGGCGTTCCGCTTCTTAACTAACACATCCAGCCATCCATCGCTCGATCTTCGTCCCGTCGATCGATCCCAGCCATCCATCCATCGATCGATCTTCGTCCCGTCGATCATCCCAGTCAAAAATCGACTGATTGATTCATGACAGTGGGTCGGGCAATATCGATCGCAGCCAACTGCAAAAAAAAAAAGACAATGGATGACAGG